TGACGCACCTGTACATGTACTGTGTGTATGGAAATCGTCTCACACGTCTCCGGAGAGAAGGGAACATGCTGAACATATAAACGTACCAGCATAGTCGCCAACGAATCATCTCAGCCAGTATATGTGCCTAATAACTGAGGATTTTAACTCGTGCTGCCTAAAAATTGGTCTACTTGACTCTGTGCAAGAGAACATAGCAACATATGAAAAGGCGACGAGGAGACAATTACTTTATTAATGGGATTAATAGTATTAGTGAAGCGGACATTACAAAATGATGAATGAGAATACATGTATCTAAAATGGTTGTTCCTAATCGATTTTCTTGAGACTATCATCAGGGAAAATCGTCTCACAATAGAGGCTATACGGAGAAACAAACTACTTATAGGTTATCGGATAGTGGGAAGTATACAAGGTGAGGTGTGAAAAAAAACTAAAGTGGGAGAGAAGACGAAAGAAATTAGAAGAAAAGATGTGAGAGTGTTCTGACGGTGTGAGCTACTACATAAGGTGAGTGAAATGAAGGCGTGGAAGGAGGTGAATGTGATAGAGTGAGGAACTGTGAGGTGTAGGTGTATGCGAATGAATACGTGTGTGAATGCTAGGTGAAGAGTCTCAGTTTTGTGACATTTTCTTTCTGAATGCATAGATTAGGATTGTGTTTACGGATGAAAACAGCTTCTAATACCTTAAGTTCACGAAACCTACGAGCACGACACAAAACAGTGAAGCATGAATCATCATACACTGAGCGGCATTGGCTACTAGACAAGAGGTGTTTCTTAATGGCTGACCCTTTCGTTGTGGTCTCACCTTCAGTCCGGTCATCTTCATCTTGGTTGTCCAACTCACTCTCTTCATCACTGCTCTCACCTTCCTCATCCTCTTCCTCTTCCATTCCGTCCTCTGCACCCAACGACAATCCCACGCTACTGCTCGCTGCCAGTCCATGTCCGGTTGTAGATGACATTACCAGCGCACGAGTCATGCTCCTTGTTACTGGTCTCCGTACCTGTGTTTGGCCATTTCCTTCAGTCTCACGTACCTGTGTACTTGTAGCACGTTCAACCGGTACTGTGTGGTTCTGTTGTAATTGTGCAACTGGCACCTGTTTGCGGGGACGGCCTCGTCCAGGTCGCTGGGCTTTGGCTCCATCTGACAATATATTGTGAGACGATTTTCCCTGATGATAGTCTCAAGAAAATCGATTAGGAACAACCATTTTAGATACATGTATTCTCATTCATCATTTTGTAATGTCCGCTTCACTAATACTATTAATCGCATTAATATAGCAACATATTATCATGATTGTCATGATTTGCAGCAAGGAATAGGACCCTGAAGCAAGACACATCAATTCGCCTCCGGACTTGCGCAACAGTACATTACCAAGGTCGTCTTGGCCGCAAGTGGATATACGTTTAGTGGAACGAATGGTCAGTATACAGCGCGAGCCGATTTTCCATCGCTGTGCCGCGACTTTGCCCACGCATATCAATTTATATTGTAATCGCATAGCCTCTATTGTTATCCAGCTGCCGACCGAATGGATATGGCAGGGCTATTTGAACCGTCTCTACTTGATTGCAGGAGACATTTAACAAAAGTGCCAACCCTCAGTTTGTGGATTGTACCCTCCCATCACTATCAGCACTGGGTATACAGTACTAGCAGTCAAGAAGGAAAGAAACGATGTCTCCGTCTTTATCTCTCTTCATTATCATTCTGAAGAAGACAACCGTCGAATCGCTAAAACATTAGTTCCAATCAGTCAAGTATTGCTTGTCTCTCTCTCTTTCTCCTTCTCTTTCCCTCCCTCCGTATAATTGTAACTCACTGTCTCTCTCAGAACGATACATGTTCTTAACTCATAAGCACACCAGAACGCAGGTTTATATACAAAGCAGCAGGACTTATTTACAAGTCATGCAAGATATATGCAATTGTCTGACTCTAAAACAACCCGGACCACGTATATCTCCACAACAGAGCACAGAGAGAGTGAGTTTCATAATCATGTGTTCGGAGTGAAAAGAGAATAAAGGAGAAATTATTGACAGCATAACCCCCCCCCCCCCCCCATCTCCATCCATATTGGCCTTTATTCTCTGGCCACGGGAAGGTGAAATAAATAAATAAGTAATGTCTTACCATTAAAATACAGGTAAAGGATGACGAAGAAGAAGTAGAGCAACAGCAACAGCAATTGGCGGAAAATACGAGAAGTAGAGAGGAATAACTAAAAGCCCGCGAAGCACGGCTGTACTTAGGTTATAAAGCGTTGCCTGAGCTGGACGCGATCCAGCCAGAGAGAGACAACAAGAATAGTGACGATAGTTCTGTGGTCAGGGCGAGTCTAGGTAACATATTGGGGAGCGCCAGCAGGGAGTGACTATAGTGATGATGAGGAGTAGGACATATCTAACACGTGACTGTTGTGATGATGAGGAGTAGGACATATCTACCACGTGACTGTAGTGATGATGAGGAGTGGGACATATCTAACACGTGACTGTAGTGATGATGAGGAGTAGGACATATCTAACACGTGACTGTTGTGATGATGAGGAGTAGGACATATCTAACACGTGACTGTAGTGATGATGAGGAGTAGGACATATCTAACACGTGACTGTAGTGATGATGAGGAGTAGGAGATATCTAACACGTGACTGTAGTGATGATGAGGAGTAGGAGATATCTAACACGTGGCTCGATCTTCTAGAAACGTACCTATCGTACTGTTCTTATTATTATGCATAGTCATGATTGCAACATTAGGGTACGTAACTGTTACATGTAAATGGTTATGAACACTGTGTATGGAGGGTCATCACACATGCATTGATAACGCTTGATAATAATGATAAGCTGCCGAACCCGATGTGACATACGCACACACGTCCAAGCATTCGTCAGCAATCAGTGACACGACAATGCCTGCAATAGGTCCCCATGTCGTGTGTGGTACAAACATGGTGGAACGCATGACAACAATTCTTGTTCCGGCAAGGCTTCGTTGGTAGCTCTGAAAAAGCGCCGCTGGGGTTACAGCACTTAGGCTGCTGCGGAGCTAAAACACACATAAATACCACAACACACACGTGCGCAAATATATATATTTAAATAGAGATGTAGGCGAACAAAATTTATATACACACAACAACAAGGTTGTCAATTTCATAATACTAAAAGCTTTTCACCCATTTTCATCAGTAGTTACATGGGAATGAGCAAGAACGAAAACGAAGCCAGAATTTATACTGGGGGTAGAGAATCAGCAAGAATATTCTTACGCGCCTCAAGTTCACACTACACTACCATAAGAATGTATGGAGCAGTGGAAAAATGCGGGAAACAACACATGAGGGGAATGCAGTACCAGAACAAACACGTAATAAAGTTGTCAGTCCGGTTGCAGCTTGAACAGCCATAGCACCTTGATGTGCTTCTTTTGTCGACACAGCTCTGGCCTCAGACTGCGAATGTACAGCGCCTCCAGTGTGAATCTGTGCGCGCTGTTCCGGGCTGGTGTGATCACACTGAAGCTGCTGTTACGTTCCTGCGGGATGCATTCAGGTTGCGCCTGCAAATGCTTTGTGATGGCGCTATCACTTGTTGCCACACATAGTATAAATTCTGGCTTCGTTTTCGTTCTTGCTCATTCCCATGTAACTACTGATGAAAATGGGTGAAAAGCTTTTAGTATTATGAAATTGACAACCTTGTTGTTGTGTGTATATATATATATATATATATTTAAAAAGAGAGGTAGGCGAACACAATTTATATACACACCACAACAAGGTTGTCAGTTTCATATCACCAAAAGCTTTTCACCCATTTTTATCAGTGGTTTCACGGGAATGTGCAATAACGAAAACGAAGCCAGAATTTATGCTAGAAGTAGAGAATCAGCAAGGATATTCCCTTCTTGTGTTGTTTCCCGCTTTTTCCCACCGCTCCATACATCCTTATGGTAGTGTAGTGCGAACTTGAGCCGCGTAAGAATATTCTTGAATCACACGCAATATGCAACATCGCACCTAGAAAAATATTACTGTGCGTGGAGTTACTCACTCTTGATATGTGGGCACTGAGGTGACATCTGACGCTGGCTGCTATTTTTGCTACATCTTACACCAGTGCACTGTGCATTATCATTTTGTTGGAGTGTGTGTGTGTGTGTGTATGTGTGTGTATGTGTGTGTGTGTGCATGGGTTTGTGGGTGTGCGTGGATGTCTGTGTGAAAAAAACTTCGGGCTTTTCGTGAATTTATCACCGCATTGTCTTCTTTGAAAAATTGTTGTTGGTAGCATACTTCTTTGACGTATCAATATCTTTATGATTCTGGAACGTCACGGTGGGTGAGATGTAGCATATCATACTTCATAGCATCACAAATTGCATGTACATGTATATAATTGCTCCCTTTCAGACCTGCACACCATTGTATACCTGATGAGGGCAATTTTGCCGAAACGTTGCAAAACATTGATCAAATGAGTTCGAGTTTAACGTTTGCAGAGTGAATAGGAGGAGGGCGAGTCTGCTCTGAAACCCTTTTTACACGCAATAAGACCAGAACAAACCTGAATGCTTTATTGTATTAATTAAGAACCGAAAGATGGAGAACTCTTGTCACCTCGATTTAAAACTGGAATAGGGAAATTTATCGGATAATGCAAGCGAAAACCAGCATACCTGTATTGCATCTTGCCCTTTCCTGTAGCCCATCTGTTGTGCATACTGGTACAGACGTAGCAGACATTGGATACAACGTGGCTCATGCAGAGTGAAGTAAACGCGCAGCTGTAATATGTTGACACACGAACACGCGCACATACACCCACCCACACACATACACATTAGCATTAATTATGATTTTGCTCTCATGGTTTAAACTTTAAATCCTTACAAACACGACCAAGCACATCATTTCTACCACAGGAAAATGAATTTGTCATCTATCACAATGCTACAAACTAATACCAGCAAACTCGTACGTGTATGACATCTTGCCCTTTGCTGTGGCTCATCTGGTACAGACATCTCTGGTACAGACATTGTAGACGATGTGGCTGCAGTAGATTGAGATGCACGGGCACCTGCAATAGATAGGCACGCGGAAAGACACACACAAACACACGCATGCACGCACAAACATACATGTGCCACACCAGAATAGGAAGGAAAAGCACGAAGTCAAACATTGAGACCAATCAACTATTAAAACCAATGCAGAAAATAGGACATAGTCCTGCGGGCGAATGTACCCAACATACCTCTGCAAAACAGTTCTGTTTGTTGTTCCCGATTTGTTGTGCACACGGGTGCAGGGGCCAAGGTAGATGTTGCGGAATGACGTACAGTGATAGCAGCTATATCAGATTGACACACAAACAACACATACAAACACGTGAACTATAAAACAATGCTTAGGACGATGGCTAATTCCCAGGCTTTGACAACGGCACATGGCATCAGGCAATTATGCAACATGTATGGCGGAGCCAGGGTTCGGCAATCTTTACCGTTAACAATTATTTATTGGTTTGGCTGTTTGTTCCTTAGCGCTAAAGCAGAAGTTGCTACGTCATGCAGAAGAAGCGGCTGCTAGTCTGCTGTATAGTGTAGAGATGCGCACTGAAGACATCACCACTTACGTTCGGGAGCTGCAACCTGTTGTACTGAACTGCTTACTGGTAGTGCTGTCAATGTGACGGAACCTGGTCTTGTTGACGCTGTAAAAATGTTACATGAGTCAAAGTGGCAAGTAAAGTAACGCGTCAATTAAAATAGAAGAGGAACATTGCACAAACGTTCTGTTCCCACTATTACACTACACGATCGTTTGTGACGTAGAACTTGCAAGGAAATGTAATTAAGTGGGGAGGCAAAGCAAAGTAATTAACTGGGGATAGTAAAGCCTACCGCACACACACCTTGCTCACGCTGTTGAGCTTGTAGGAATTGCCTCCGCTCAGTCTCTCCGGAAACTCCGACACGACACCTGAGGTGTCTTTCGACTGCAGGTCGACCACGCTTGGCATGCCCTGACTGCAAGGCTGGATCAGGGACAGCAGTGCTATACGTTTCGTGCAGCCTGCGCCTGGCACTGAACTGTTGGTTCAAGGTGTGTGAAGACGCTGTGCAGGAAATCATACAAAATAGCACAAACATTACTCAATCGGCTCTGGACTGCTAGCTATTTTGAGATGTTAGGTGGCATTAGCGGAACTCGAATGACTGGCCAGACCTATCACATCAAAGTCTAGCGAACAACAAAGCAATATTAAACCAGCTCACCAGAACACACAAGGTCCATGTCTGCGGAATCGACAAATTTTTAGTCATGATTAACGACACTTTACATACCCTCTTGGATAACCAAGCCAGACTCATCAGTGGGCAGACTTTTTGCAAACTCTTCTGACAGCTTCTCCAGTTGAGTTTTGAGATCGCGTACAGCACTTGATTCTGTACAGACTAAGGTCTGCGCTTGGAGGACTTTGAGCATGTTTCGTGCTTGCCTTGCATCGAGCCGGCATTGTTGCTGTTGTGTCTGCACAGAAGGAAAGTAGCCACAAAAGAAAAAAATTCTTTCAAATAGAAAATGGAAACAAGGAAAACGGTGGGGCCTAATATGAATTATTTTAAATTTCATATGGTCTTTTGCTCACCATCTGAGTACTTATTTAACAATCATAGCATGGAAACATTATTCATTGCTAGCATTGGGATATGAGTGTGCCTATAGTTTTAACAAGAGTACATAACCCCCCAGAGTGTGCAACTCCACAATGGGTGCTGTCCCGACAGAATTTCAAGTTGACGTCATTTTTGTTGATGCAATGCGCAATGTACACATATTATCAGACGAATCCGGAACCTGTGGTTGACCGAAGCCGATCGATTAATTATTGCAAAGAAAAACGTGTGATGCGTTGAAACCGGTACACATGTTGTAAATCACTGGTGCAAGGAGCATTGCGTCATAAATAATGACGTCAACTTGAAATTCTGTCGGGACAGCAGGGTATGTGGGAGTTGCACACTCTGGGGAGTTATGTAATCTTGGTTTTAAGCATTGCATTATTAAAAGATGATTGTCTCAGTGTCGCCTTTGTAAAAACGTTACGCAATGATTTTCCTTCAGGCAAATATATGCAAGGGAAATTTTTAAAGCACAACAAACTATAAGCAAACTTACCCTGTGCAAAGGAATTTCATTGGAAACCGGATTTGACAGCTGGGTCCCAACTTCATCATGCGGCGAGTTGTTCACCTCCTCAGCCACTGCCAAATCCTCTGAATGAACCTCACCATCTCCAAGATCGATGTCTAGTGTTATTTTGGGGCTGGAGCGGTACGTCTCGGGCAGCGACTCCCAACTACAGCCGGGTACCATCCTGAATACGGCAAACATATGTTTGCACGGTAGTGCTTTCAGATTCCAGTCCTCGCAAGAGCATGAGGGTGTGTCAAAGCTAACAAGACGAGTCCTCCCAAATGACTTGACATTATACTGGTGATCCCCAACAGCTGCAACAGTCTCTACAGGGAAAAAGGAGAAGGATATTTGCAGAAAATAACGATAAGTAGTTCTCAAAGGGATTGGTTGATGGGTGACTCGAATTTCCTGGGCTTTAGGCCACCGGAAAAGTCCTTTATTTAGTAATAAAATGGCTAATAAGCCCGCTGCTGAAGTGGACATTGCAGTCCTGATCGACGGGGAGCTGAGGGACCTCATCAGGCAGCGTGGACTGGAAATCCCACGAAAAGCCACCAGACCCGATCTTGTTGCCCTGCTCAGAACATCGCTGGATGAGGACAAAGAAGTAAGTGAACCTACTAGCACGAGCCCCCTGGCTGCTAATGAGGGTGTTGTTGCCAGCCTGTGCTCAGCTCTGTCTGAACTCACTAATGTCGTCCGAGAGTTGAAGACTGAGTTACACGCCATGAGAGAAATAGAAGCTAAATTCAACGATTCTGCCAGAGAGGTGCTGTGCCTGAAGACGGAAGTACGGGAACTTAGGAACGACCTGCATGCCAAAGTTGAGAGGTACGATACGGTGATTCAAACTTTGAACAATGACCCCACTGAACCAAGCTTTACCAAAACCGTATCCTCCACCCCACAACATCGACCCACGTATGCAGAAACTTTGCACCAACAACCAGCATTGCAGCCCAAAAATACTGCCCCTGCAGCTGCCCCAGCTGCCCAAAGGCCACAACGCCAGCCTCCCAAGCCGTACAGGCGACAGGAATCGTCTCGCTGGCTGGCACCCAAGCTTCCAAAGAGCACCACCCGATGTGCACTAACGGGTAAGCCGAGAGTCAAAGTAGGGAGGTTTAGTTCCCACGTAACGGAAACGCGTACGTGGGTGATCCACGTAAAGTGGATGAAGGCCATCCACGTTGCAAAGTGCTGTTTAGTCACACGTACTGAAAACCTGTGAAATCTTTGCAGTCGTTTCGATGGAAACGGCATTTATGTGAGCGGGAAAGTTTGAAAACAGATTCGAAGTGGCACGTGGACACCACGACAAAAGTAAGTAGTTTTTTTGGTCAATGGTTCTTGCATGTTCTTGTAGTAACTAATTACTTTGGATTCTCGTTGTCCCTCTGTGCACGTGTTTGTCAATCAAGTACATGTCCTCATGGCTCTCGTACCTGTCCTCTGCGAGCTCTTCGCCTTAGAGTTTGATCGCGAGGATCCTCATTTTGAGCTGCTGCAGCTAATTGTGGAACTGCTTCAGGAGCAAATCAATGTGGAACGTCCTCGACAGCTCCCCAATCGTTTCGACTGGTTGGACGAGAAGTGGACCTCCGAGAAATGGAGAGAGACCTTCCGTTTCCAAAAGCAGCACCACCAAAGGCTGACCACAGCTCTTGGATTGCCTGAGGAGTTCTGTGGGCCAAACAAGATTAAATGGACTGGCCACGATGGGCTATGTGTGGTCCTAGCACGATTGGCCTATCCATGCCGGCTAGGCCAATTGGAAGATGTGTTTGGGCGCTCTCGCTGTGAGCTGAGCGTCATCATCAATGACACCTGTCGATTTATATACGATCGTTGGGGAGACCTGCTTAGGCGTGTGGACCTTCCTTGGCTTTCCCCTCTTCATCTTGAAGAATTTGCCGCCGCAGTTGGAAGGAAAGCACCACTTCAAAATGTGTGGGGCTTTATAGATGGCACCGTGCGACCGATCTGCAAACCGATCAGTGGGCAGCGGCTTTTCTTTAACGGCCACAAGCGCGTACACGCACTCAAATTTCAGTCTGTTGTGTGTCCCAACGGAATTATCGCCAACCTCCATGGCCCTTGTGAAGGCCGTAGACATGACGCCTACCTTCTGCGCGACTCGGGCCTGCTGCCACAACTAGAGGAGTTCATGGATCGCCCTCAGCCACTCGGAGCGGACGCAGCACCCGTTTTTAGCCTTTACGGAGACCCTGCGTATCCTGTAAGGGCGCACTTGCTTGCTCCACATCGGCGGGTCAATCTGACTGAAGAGCAGAACAGGTTCAACGCTGAGATGAGTGCCGTGCGTATTTGCGTAGAGTGGGGATTTGGAAAAATCCTCCAGCAATTTGCGTTCTTGGATTTCAAGAAAAACCAGAAGGTTCTACTGCAACCTGTTGCAATGCTGTATTCGGTCGGTGCGATTTTGACGAATTGCCACACCTGCCTCTATGAAAGTCAAACTTCAACGGCGTTCGATCTGGCCCCGCCTTCTCTAGAAGACTACCTTACTCTGGAGTGAAGGCTTGCACATGATTTTCATTTACCTTTCTTATTAGTTTGTTTGTTATGTTATGATTTCTTGCTTTTAACTCGGTTTTCTTTTTAGTTAATTTATTATTTGGTGCAATTTTAGCGCTATGTGGTATATGATTTCTCTTTTTCTTAATTTTGTATTTAGCGCGTTTGGGCGTTATCATTTTATTCTCTTCTTTTCGCACCAAGTTATTATTTTCGCTGTTTGACCCTGCAAATTGTTTTAGTCCGTTCTGTCTTGACTATTTATAGTGCTACCCGTTGATTAAGTTGGCCTGTGCAGTCCTTCCCACGAGACTGCAATGGAAACGTGTCAGGATACCTAACCCTTGTCAGTGGTGTGTGTGTGTGTTCAATGCGGAGATTGCTTTATTTGTTACGTTGTTTTCACGTACGATATATTCTTGGGATAGTTTGGTAGTAGTGTTGCCCTTCTTACCAGTTTTCACTGGTACATGTAACATGTCATATGAATAGAAAAATATCCCTGCCCTCTACAGTCAAGACTTAAACAAATGCACCATGTGATGCATTGGGGATACACTCTGTGAGCTGTAATTGCACACACACAGACACCATGTACCATGTATACGCCCGTCGCAAGAGAAGCACACAAATCACACACACACACACACACACACACACACACATCTATTTCTTCATTCCATCCAGAAGCTACAATTCAGCAAGTACATGTAGTAAGAGCAAAGTAGTTTATTTCAGTTTATTCTCAATCAGAGTGCGGTATGTTGCGTACACACCAACACACACACCCCATGTACCATGTATACGCCCGTCGCAAGAGAAGCACGCACATCTGCAAATGCACAGGATGTGCACCCACAGATTTTCTCTTTATGGCAACGATAGCGATAGATCTGATTCTGATTGAAACAGATCAAGACAAGCGCC